GGACCTGCGTTGCCCACGCGGGGACGGGGACAGCGGCACCTCCGGCACACGCAGTCCCACACGGGCCGCCCGTCCCGCCCAGCGCCCGTGACAGCGCGGGGTCCCGGCGCGGGCTGATGTCACCGCCGTAGGTGCCCGCCGCGCTGCCGGGGCTCGGCACGCCGCCCGCCCGTTCCCCAGGCGCAGGCCGGGATCGGAGCAGCCGCCGGGCCGCCCGGGCGCGGTGTCAGGGCACAGGGAGCGCGGGGGGCGGCGGGCGCGGGCGGGGGTCTGAGGGCGGCCCGCGGGCAGCGCGGCGGCAGCGCGGCGGGGCCTGGCGGGAGCGCGGCGCAGGCGCAGCGCGGGCCCGGGCCGCCATGCCGACCATCAGCGTGAAGCGGGAGCTGCTGTTCCAGGCGCTGGGCAGGAGCTACAGTGAGTGTCCGCCATCCCCGCCCTGCTGCGGGACGCGCCCGCCCTGCACCGCGGCCGCCGGGCTGACGTCGCCGCGGCGTCTCCGCCGCTGTCCGCTCCGGCCGGAGCGCAGCCCTGAGCGCGCACGGTGCCGGCGGCCGCGCCCTCCGCGCCCTGCGTGTACCGGGGCTGCGCTGGGACTCTCGGGGAAGCTCAGGCCTCAGAGCGCCGCCGGCTCTCCTGTCGCCTGCTCCTCGCCAGCCCTCGGCACGCCAGGCACAGCCATGTGTTATCCCTGGCCCTCTCAGCCCATTGCCCCGACACGCGCTGCTTTGAGCCCAAATCTCTCGGGAAATTGCAACCACGCGTCTCCACATGGTGGTTTCTGGCTGGAGTTTCAGTGTCTGGTTTAGGATCTGGTTAAACGAAGAAGGAGAGAGAAAAGAGAGGGGAGCAGGCAAAGCGAGCAGTGAATAGTGTGGGTTTATTAATTTCCTTCTTGGCTCAGGAAGCAGATTTAAGAGCTGCTCGGCTGAAGGAGCATTCAGGATGTGCAGTGGTTCAGAGCAGACGGGAGCTGTGGCTCGTCAGACAGCCCGGTGCGGATCTGCACTGTCAGCTCAGGGCTGTGTTACTCACATGGTACCACGCAGTTGATGCAACCTCTGTAGAACAACCTGACTAATCAGAATAGGAACACTTAGCAGAAGCTTCCCAGTTATTCCCTTCTGATTTCATTATCTGTTCAGGCCAGAGTTGCTCCGACAGACTTGGCTGAGGAGCTGAGCTCCAAAGACCAGAAGCCCTCCCTTGTGACTCTCAGAATACCATGTCAATAAATCGAATATATACTAAAGAAGCTGCTACTCAGATGCAAATATAAGGAAAATTCTTTAAGTTACTTTTTCTTTTTTTTTTTAATAGCATTTATTACCTTGTTTGAAAACATTCCAAACACGCACACAAAAATTAGGTCTGAGGTCTGCTTGTTAACCAAAATTCACCCTCTTCCTTCACAGCGGATGAAGAATTTGATGAGCTTTGCTTTGAGTTTGGTTTGGAGCTTGATGAAATTGTAAGTAATGTTTTTATTTGTTGCTTTTTGACAGCATATTGACATCATTGCTTTTTGGTAAGAGTTTGTATAGCATATAGTTGTTTTCAGCATATCCCCTGGTACAGGGACTGTATTAACAAAGGTATTTTGAATTTGGATAAAACCCCTCAGACTTACAAAAGTTACTGCTTTGGAAGCAAGCGACTCCAAGATGGCATATTGCAATACTTTCTGAAGGTCAGCACTGTGTGCTGCTTATCTTCAGTCTAAGGCACTATTTTATTTAGCAGCATAAATATGGCCACAGAGCATGTATTGATCATATTTTACAAGATCTGTTTGGCTTTGTTTGATATACAGTCGTCCATACACTATAAAAAAAATGTATTTGTCCTGGACATTATTATCTGAGTTGTAACTAATGTTTATTTAACATTTTGATTTAGGTTCTGTGCTTGTGGTGATTTTCTAGCCCTGATAACTCTATCCATGCAAATCTTGTTCAAGCAGATCTGTTTTGGTTTTGCCATTTAGTTTTAATTTATTGGCCTTTTAATGATGTTTATGAAAAGGCATCTGAACATTTATTTCAGAATAAATTTGATTATGACAAGTCATTTGCCAATCTGTTGCCAAAAATAAGGTCTCAGATCTCTGCTGGGATCTGACAGCCTGGAGGTTCTTAGTTCTATAATCTTCTTTCTTAAAATTTTAATACTGAATTTTTCTTTTGGCACACTGCTCTACAGTTTCTGAATTTGAGGTTTTATGCCATTTCTTGTATTTGGTGTGTCCATTTGCTGTATAAATACAAATTACAGTGTTAAACTTTTAATTAATACAGTTTCTCCTATGATATCACTATCATACTGCTGCCAATGTTAAGATGTATCAGGTTAAAAGTGCATTTTTGCTTCATTTCAGACATCTGAGAAGGACATTATAAGTAAAGAAAAAGGCGAAGAAAAGGCAAAGGGTGCATCTGATGTTGTTCTCTATAAAATTGATGTCCCTGCCAACCGCTATGATCTGCTTTGCCTGGAAGGGCTGGTCCGAGGACTGCAGGTCTTTAAAGAAAGGTAAGGCAGAGTTCTGAGATTTCTGTGTAGTTTGTTATTTGTTGAAATATGGGTCCATTTCTGGTCAATAAACAGAAGTTCCTACTTGCTTGGATTTTGAGTATGGTTATGTGTAAAGATCAGATTCATCATCCTCTGGAGAGGATCGCCTGCATAACTTAAAAATGACTGGACTAGAATGTTACTGTATTTTGTATTTGTTCTAAAAAGTTTTCAATTGCTGTTCCATTTGAGACTTATCCTCTGTAAAGAACTCCTGCAGAGAAACTTCCTTGTGGTCCTTTGTAGTAAATACCAAAACAAGTAATTTATTTCCCTTTTCTGCAACAACGTGATCTTGCTGAGTTCTTCCGTTCTGGTTCAGTAATCTGTTTGCCATCCCATAAAAAACAAGTTTTGCACAATTAACTAATTATATTATCAAAAAAGCTTTCTACATATAGTTGCTGCTGCATTTCTGGAGTTTGCTGCATTTCAGCTATAGACTTACTTGTTTTTGTTTTAGGATAAATATCCCTAGGTTCGAAAAGATAATACCAGCTGAGGGTGAAGGTCAGAGGCTGATTATCACTGAACAGGTAAAAGTGTTTACTTCACCTTTGTAAATGTATTGAGAGTTGCTGAAGCAGCAAGATACATATCAGTATGATTTTGTAAGAGCAGTGAGACTGGAAATCTTATTCGCAGAACAAGAGCTAAAGAAATTTAAATATCTCTACTCGTTGTAGTCTATTCTTAGGAATGAGGAGGGGGAGAAACAACAGACAAATTGATTTGGGTGAACCTAGTAGCAGATCAAATCAAAGTTTCAGATGGAGCTCAGATCAAAGTTTCAGAGCTCTCTTGAAATCTGCATGCTGCTGTTGTGAATTGCAGACTGCCCAGATCCGGCCTCACGCTGTAGCTGCTGTCCTCCGCAATATTACTTTTACCAAGGACCGCTATGACAGTTTCATCGACCTCCAAGAGAAGCTACACCAAAATATTTGCAGGTTAGTGCTTAAATTTAAAATGGTATATAGTGTCTGTGTGTATGATTTTATCACAAGACTGCACATTCCTATTGCAGAGAGGCATTATGGTTATGCCAAGGAAAATCTTCTATAGGAGCTATCTTGATCCTTTGCATTTCCTTGCCTGTTCTTGTCTGCTGCCAATATTGTTCAACATAAATAGCTGTTACCGTTCATTTCAACATTGAAACCAAAGTGTGTAGCAACATTCCCTTTGGATTTGCCTTGACAGTGTGTTGTTATTCATAATAATATTTATTAAAATGTTATTCATCAAGCAATTTTTGGGCTCTTCAAAATTATCCTTTTGCTTTTTCAGTAAGCTCTGTGAATGCATAGAAGTATAGAGCATCATACTCTAAAAAACTCCAAGTATTACTAGTAAAAACATTATTTTGCCTTCTTTATTTCTAGGAAAAGAGCATTAGTAGCAATAGGTACCCAT